TAGCGCCTGGGAGGTAGGCACTCGGCGGGCACGCCGGCCCGGCGGGTCTGTGTGGGCCGCAGGCGCTCCGCTCCAGGCCTCGCCCTGGGCTCGGCTCGCCCAAGCAACGCGCAATGGGCAGCCCATGGAGCCTAGCCCCGGACACGCGCCCAAATCACTCGCCCAGGCCGGGGCTGTTGCTGTTGTGACCATTAGCCTTCACCTCGCACGTCTGGCCTCCAGATTGAGGGGATCCGGTTTGCTGTCGCCGGCACCGGCTCTGTACTGTACGTAGTCGGCGTATGACGCGTTGAGAAAAACGGGTCTTTTTCGTGATAAGCGTCCCTTGTTCGGGTTCGGCCGGGGAATGCACGTGCCTGCCAATGCTTGCATGGTCGGTTTTGTTCTTTACTTTTTATTTTTCAGTTTTCTTTTCGCGCCCTCAACTCCTTGTGTTCGACAACGGTTTAATATTTTACTTTTGTTGTGTCATGTTTACTGACAGAAATCCTCAGTATTATTTTTACTTTGTTTTACTTTTGTTCTGTTTTGCTCACGCTTTTATTTAATTTCGACAGGAGAGCGGGTGGTCCGCTGCCCTCGCACCGAGAGTTTACCCGCCATCTGCCCGTGTCCCTGTCCCAAAGGTAAATAGCCCTGCAAGCTGCTAAGCGGGGACGCTCGTACTGCGGTCCGGAAATGTGAGAAAAATAGCTCTGCGCAATCAGACTGTGGCATCTTTGGGCGAGTCTACGTTGGGAGCTGCACGATCGGCGCGATATCTCGGACGGGTTTTGGGCGAGGGAGGGCGTGCCGCAGCGAGTCACTCGCTTATTCGCGTCATGCGGCGCGCTTGTTCTTTTCTTTCACTTTATCTGCGACTAGAGATTAGGGCCATAGAGACATTTCGCCCACGCGCCTCGCGACCCCGTGGGCCTACCTCGCGCCCCTCCTGCGCCCCACTCGCCACCCCGCGCCCGGCCAAACCCCACTGTTAAAAATTACAACAGTAAATAACTACAGGATGGACTGGTAATTTTGAAAATAGTGTAATCCTGTAGTTTTCTCTGTACTTTATTGCGGAGGAAAGTTCTTTTCCAGCATTTGCCATGTCTTTATCCCTCATTAGTACCATTCGAACAGATTTTGACCGTAGTATGGCAGTACAGGACGATCGGTATGAATTCTGTTTCTGAGTACAGAATTTTTAACAGTGGGGCCTATGGACGCATTGAATCTCCCTTGTTAGCGGTCAAGGCGCCAGCCCCCTTATGAGTTTCACGGCGTGCTGGTTGTGTCGACTCCACTTTTTGGATCGAAGTGGACCGACAGCCGTCTCGTTTGTTGGATATCCGACACCGTCTTGTCGTACACGATGTCTCTTTAACTTTCTGTGTTTCGCCCGATGCGGGATTGCCTTGCCCTCCCCTGGGTGGCGCTTGGAGGCCGGCCAGCGGTGACGTCGCGTGACGCACCGTCTCGGGCGCCCGCCCCGCGTCACGGCGCTGACGCGACGGCAGCCCAGCGGGCCTGTGCGCCGCGAGGGTGGCCGCCCCTGCCCGGCGCTGGCCCGGCGCTGGCCTGGCGACGGAGGCCTAGCGCTGGCCGAGGAGTATCGCCGGCGCGGGGTACTGGCGCAGCTCACACGCGGCCGGGCTGGTGCGGGAGCGGGCCGCCAGGGCGCGCCGTGGTCGCCTCTGGCCGAGTTGGCGCGGGCCGCGCCGAGTTTTTGACCCTCGGCGCGCCGCTGCTGCTCCCGGCCCGTCACGGGTCCCGTCCGGACGCCAGCGTCCGATGTGAGCTTTGCCGGCATGCATAATCACTCGCACGTAATGACGATGGTTTCGCAGTTTTTATCTCGCAAGCGGGGCGTCCGTCCGGACCGGACCCGCGGACCCGCCGCCTTGCACGGCAGTTTGCACGGCGTTTTCGTTTCTTTTTATTGGGGGGG